GCCGCGCACGCCAGGACCATGGAGGAGTTCCTGCGAGCGCACGGGCTGTCGCTGGACGAGTGCACGGCCCGCGTCACGGGCATGAAGTACAGGTGAGCCCCGGGGCGCTCTGCRGCATGCGGGAGGGCCGCGCTGTCAGCGCCGGCCAGTGAAGGGCCGTGGGCGCAGGGGCCGCTCCGCGGGGCCTCCCCTGGCTCCCCGCTCCTGGCACCTGCAGCTGCCTCCCCGGGGCTGGGATTCCCAACCAGGGCAATCGCTGCTTCCCCAGCCCAGTCCTGGAGATGCCCTTTTCCACACAAGCCCGTAGGGTTGGCATGCGGCCCCACGCTGCGTCGTGGCTGTCCACAGCGGGCCTAGGAACCCGTGAGTGCGAGCGCGGTGCGCCCTGCCACGTGTAGCCACGGCCTCGGTTCAAATGCAGCGCCGCGCTCGCAGGGCTGTGCATGGTCACTTCCCYGGCACTGCAGTTGCAGGGCTGCATRGAGTGCCATGCCCAGCACTGTGCTTAYGAGGCTGGCTACAGTGACATGCCTGGCACTGCAATTGCAGAATGGTGCACAGCGACACCTCCAGTGCTGCCCTCATGGGGCTGCACGTGGTGACATGCCTGGGGCTGCACACAGTGACATGTCCTGCGCTGAGCTTGCAGGGCTGTGCRTGGTGACATGCCCTGCGCAGCGCTCACAGGACTGCGCATGGTGACGTGCCAGGYGCTGCGCTTGCGGGGCTGCGCGCGCAGCCGGGCGCCACGGCCGGCCCCGCTTGGCGGGTGGTGGAAGCAGCGAGGCCGGCGCACGGGAGGGAGGCTGAACTGTAACCCCCCCCGCGGAGCCGGGAAGGCGTCTGCGAGCGTGAGGCAGCTGCTGCTCCATGAATTTTGCATGCAGCGCCCGAGCAGGGTGCAGTGGGAGGGCATAAATATTTCAGCTCACTTTTGTTCTTTTAATTCCTGCTGCCCCGTCGGGGGGCGACACTGGGAGCCGGCCGGGCTGCGGGCCCCGTGCGGGCGCAGCCGCGCGGTGCAGGGATTACCCGCCGCACAGGCACTAAGCCGCTTTGGGCCGAGCCGATTAGGAGCCGCTTCCCGGCCCATCTGCGGCCGGATTTGTGTCGCTGCCCCCGCTCCCCGTGCGCCATGGCGGCCTCCTCGCTGCGCGCGGGCGCTCACGGCCCCGGGGCCGCTCTGCTGCGCGGCTCSCCGTGCGCTGTGCTCGGCTCTGTGGCACTCGGCCCCGCGCGAGGGCAGCAGCTGCTCCGCGACGCGCTCGCCCGCGGGCACCGTGCGCACTGGAGCGTGCAAGCGTGCGCTCCTCTTCATGCCTCAGCTCACCCACAGCCGGGCAGAAAAACGAGCTTGCGTCACATTTAAACAGGAGAAATTGGGATTTGGTATCGCGGTGGCCGATTTAGCTCCTGCTTGGAGAGGTTTAAGGGCATCAGCACAAGCGGCCGTCACGCAGCAGGGCCGTCCGGCGCGCTGCAAGAGAGCGGGGCAGCCGCTGCGGCTCCTGCAGGGCGCCGGGGCCGGCCGCGGCCTCATCAAACATTGATGGCAGGAAGGTGATCGCGGCGGGTCGCTGTGGTGCCGCCTTTGCAGGCGCCCGGGGAGGAGCTCCCTGCTCCCCAGCGGCTCCCGGCTAAATTTAGGCGCCTGTCAGTGCCGCCCGCGTAGGGAAGGAGCGAGGCGGAGCGAGCGGCAGCGCGCGGGCTCTGCCGGCGGCGCCGGGGCCCTGCGGCCCCCCCTCCTCCAACGACCCCCTCCCTCCGTCCCCACCGGGACCCTCCGTCCCGCTCCGTCCCGCTCCGGCCCGGCCGGTACCGCCAAGAGGGC